TATGGAATTTTAGTTCATATAAACTAAAATTCCAGAATGAATGAACAATATAATGTTGTTGCTGGGAATCGAACCTGAATTTTTTTTAAAGGGGAGACGCGCATTTTTTAATAAAACGACGTCGTTTTGGCATCCGTATGCACCATACATGGTGCATACGGATGCACAGCATAACGATTGGTTGATTTGGGTTTTACTCCCAAAATCACACATTTATTATTGTGCAAATTTTAATGTGGATCATAATCCAAAATGATGTCGTTTCTTTTAATAAAAAGAAATAGTACCCATTTTGACTAACTAATTATATTTTATGAAATATTCAGTTTCATTTTATATACACTGTAATTTTATTACAACACAATTAAAGTATTATTTTGATTCAACTATAGTTTTCATTTGACATCATACACTCTACAACACCATTAAACTATCATTATAATTTAACTACTGTTTTATTAGACAATACACACTCAAATATGTGAAATCGGTTGTTCAATTTCATTTTATATATATTGTAGTTTCATTACGGCACAACTAAAATATCATTTTAATATATGAGACATGTTATTCTGTTTCATTTTATACATATTGTTGTTTCATTATAGCACAATTCAATTATCATTTTAATTCAACTACAATTTCATTTGACAATATACACACAATATATGAGACCTAGTATTCAATTTATTTTAAATACATTATAGTTTCATTATAACATAACACAACTAAAGTATCGTTCTAATTCAACTACAGTTTCATTTGACAATATACATTCAATATATAAAACATGTTATTCAATTTCATTTTATTCTGGACACATTATAAATATGAGATTAGTAAACATAACAGTTGCCCTGATAGCATTTTTGGACCATGATCCACCGTATAATAATTGTTATTATGTTAGGATATAAAACATTGTAAATTTTATATTCCCATAATATATATATATATATATATATATATATATATATATATATACACACACACACAAACAAACAAACACACACATATATATATATATGGAGTGTAATAGATGCCTAGTTTATACACTTTTTTTTTTTTTTTTTTTGAGGAAGCCTAGTTTATACACTTAACAATTTCAAACTTTAAAGTTCAAATTTGAGTGTGGTCCTCCCCACATTAAACTTCGTGCTTTCGGCATGTCACGGTTGTGCAACATTTCGAAGATATATAATTGTATATTTAATTCATTACCAATTAAGCCTAACTAATAGACCTCAGTATTAAAAATTCCTTTTTATATATCTTGACAGAAAAAATGACATTTCATCTTTTTTTGTATAGTTTCCCTACCATAGCTTATAATTCAAATCTGGTCCCATCGTTTTGAATCAATTAACATAAGAGAGAGAGAATTTGCTTTAATTTATTAGTATTCAAATTATTTTCAAGAACTCGAAGATTAAAGTGTATATCTTTTACATTTGTTGTTATTTAATTCGTATAAAAATTAGTTTTTATATATTTTAAAATCATTTTTTAATGTGTAAGTAAATTTCCTAGCAGACAAGCAAGCTCCATATGGACGAAGATACCCTTGTTGGAATCACACCAAACAACCTTAATTTGGTCGGCTATCATGGTCAAAAGAAAAACAAAATGAAGTAATTTTATATTCCAGAAATATATACACAATATCATAATATCCATATTATTACCTTTTTTTTTTTGTGCATTAACTTACTAGGCAGTAGGAATTATCATATTCTTATTCTTATATGTTATGTTTTAGACTTTTAGTAAACAAGTTTATATCATTACATAATTAAACAAATATGTTAAATTATACTCCATATAATATAACGTGTGTGTGTGTGTGAATATAATATAACGTGTGTGTGTGTGTGTGTATATATATATATATATATATATATATATATATATATATATATATATATATATATTGATAATTTATTATAAATTGTTCAAACTTAAAGTTACCCACTAGTGCATGCAAATTAGGTGATAGTAATTGCCTACACCTTGATTGTTATTCTTGGACTACTTCTTTTTTTAAAAAAAAAAAGTTTTGTGATTAATTAATGATTATTGAAGTTTAAACTTGATTAGTGGAGTTTACTAGTCAAATTTCGAACTAGTGGATTAGTGGAAATTTCTAGTCAATATAATGCATGTTTGGTGATTGGATTAAGGTATTGATAAAGTTATATATATATATATATATATATATATATATATATATATATATATATGTAATTATGTACCAACTACCAAGCAATATAATAATATATGAGCAATTTCAACCAAGTTGATTATAATAAGTTTTTAAGTTTGACACCTTATAGTTACCGGCAATATTAATTTCATTGTGGATGCAACTATTGCACAACTTGATTTGCTGGTTTGGGAGAGATGGACCTTTTTCTGACTTTTTATGCATGGGAGTTCTTTGCCCTTTGTGATAATTGTTTATAAACTTTTGGTATAAACATTTTTCTTGAGACTCACATAATAAAGATAACTTATCAATAGTTGCTATGTTATGGAGTAAAAAATGAAGGAGTAGAGATTGAGAGTCAATACATGATCAAAAATATTCATGTACATATAAATTACCATGTCTAATGAAACAAATTCAATTGCAGTGCATGAACACTTTTATAAGTTCGATCATTAGATAGATCGATATATCTCATGCTTTTATATATCATTTTTCAATATTATTCTACAAACCCTTCTATTATTCAAAATTCCGCCATGAAACTATACTCAATTCATCTCCATCTTTAAAAAAAGACCATAAATACTTAGCTCACCCACACCCACACCCCCCAAACAAAGCAAGGTGGTTAGGTCGTGGTCAAATGCCATAAAGAGCGGTTTAATTGAACCGGCGGCGTCCTCGTAGTAGTATTTTCCAAATAGCCGTTACATGCATGCTGGTTGGTTATCCATTTTAGTATATAGATACGAGTGTGAACAAAAAGAGTATTTAAATTGATAAATTTATTTCTGATTGAGACATAAAAGATATGAAAATTAGTGTCTTATATAAAAAATTTTTCTATAATATTGACTCTAAAAATGTGCATAGGTTAGAGCTTATAATTTACGGCACCTGTTAACACAATACAAAATCAAACATGAAAATAATGAGTTAGTTTTTACCTGTAATGTATCCCGTCGTCATTAATCAGTTGACATGTGTGTCTTAACGGTTCAATCCGCTTAACGTCTTAACCCATTACTATTAGCATTAATTATGATTTTTAAACATTATTTTACCATTTTATGAATATTATGGTATGCTATATATGAATTAAATATTTTTACTAGTTTTTTATTATATTTAATAAAACGTTTTTTGTTCTAAACTTTTATTTTTTAAAAAAGAAACTTATATTAATATGTCTAACGGGTTCTAAACAAATTATTGTAATGCAGACTCAAAACCTATTACTAAATGTATATATTGTGTCAATCTATTTAAAAATTATGTTTGTATAGTAATTCATGTTTAGAACTTTAATCCGTTAACATTGATTGGTCGTGTCCATATTTATATTATTATCGTGTTAACCCATTAACAGGCTTATTTTCACAAATTATCATGTTTAGAAAAAATTAACTAAATATAAAAATTACACTAATACTCAGTAGTTAGAAATGACTGTAAATTATTTTCGTCACTCAAAAAACATAAATATATCTTAAAATTTATAAAATATATACACCAACTTCTTTAATTTGGACCAATAAATATTAAAAGCACCAACTTTAATGTCTCGTATGTTTAATGTACGCTCCTTAAATGAAACAGAAGCGTCATTATGATGTTTCGTAAATGTTGTGTGCATGTCATTTGTCAACATCCCAAAATTTAATATTATATATCTGTCTGTTTTGAAATAGTAGCTGTAATTATTTGTACAAATTTTAAGAAAAATAAGAAAATGTATTATTTTTTAATTTAATTTAATTTTGTCTTTAACTATTCATTTTGCAATGGTATCTAAACTAATTCAGTCAAGACTCAACCAATCTTATTTAAAAACACATCTTTTAAGGATGCTTGGTCAATTTGTATGTAGTCAAAATTCTAACGTTACAGATGCATTAATAGTTCGTTTATCACTACAATAAAGTGAAAAATAATTTTATAAGTATTGAAAAGAAAGGTAAAAATCGTTTTTAAAAAAATGGTTTTTTTTTTTTTTGAATGATGAAGGAACCATGTAGTCATTACACGAAGTTACGAATGAGGTAAACCCTATTCCTCTATAAATCACATTACCATGATTTACCTCATTTCACATGCTCTATCAGAAGGAAGCGTGATGAGCCTTAAGGGTTAGAGATTCAACCTTTCAAGAGAAGAAAATCTTATATATGAATTCCTTAAAAAAAACTCATGATCATGCTCTATCTAGGGGTGTAAACAAGCCGAGCCGAGCTCGAGCTCGTTAATGGAGGCTCGGCTCGAGCTCGAGAACTGATGCTCGAGCTCGAGCTCGGTAATTTTAAGGGCTGCTTGAGCTCGGCTCGATTGTTCGAGTTCGAGCTCGATTTTGACATTGAATTTGACCTATTTAATACTTTTGATTTAAAATTCAAACTACTTTGTTTTATCCATACATAAATAATAGAAATCTTTTAGGGATTTTGAGTTTAAAATTTTAATTTCTAATTGTTATTTTTATATATTATTATATTATGTATTATATATATTATATATTATATGGCTCGCGAGCGGCTCAACGAGCTACGAGCCTAGAATATCTAGGCTCGGCTCGAGCTCGATTACTAAACGAGCCGCTCGAGCTCGATTTTGACCGAGCTCGAGCCGAGCTTTGACCGAGTCGCTCGCAAGCGGCTCACGAGCTGCTCGGCTCATTTACACCCCTAGCTCTATCCACTCAGTCACTCTTCTTGGAATACAAAATAAATAAAATTTATTTTTGAGAGTACGTATAGTAGAACTCCTAATAAAATATACATGGTGGTTGCTTTCTTAATTAAAGGGTTACCGAGGTCTATTTATGCGTACCGGCTTTTGGCTCCATCTTGCATTTCCATTAACGTCTCTCTGTAAAAGCTCGTTTCTTCCCAAGATTTCACTCCTTAATCCTTCTTTCTATCGATCAAGAATCAAGAAAATGCCGCACTCAAGACCAAACCTCCCAGTTCCAAACACTACTCCCCCACACTCAACGCCGCCGTCTCTCTCATCTCTCTCCGCCACGAGCAGCAGCAACGGCAGCGCCGCCAGCAGCGATTTGGACGAAAGCCCCGCGCCGTCGCGGAGATACGACTCCCAAGATCTCCAGATTTCAAGAATGCCCGTCCCGGCCCCCCAATCCCACAAACCCCTGGCGGTTCTCTCCGGCCACGTCGGCGCCGTTTCTTGCATAGCCCTGTGCGGGGAGTTCGTCCTCAGCGCTTCCCAAGGCAAAGACATCATCGTATGGCAAAACCCAGATTTACGCCAATTCACGAAATTCGGAGAGGGAGATGGGTCAGTTAAGGCGGTTTTAACAGTTGGGACCAAAGTCTTCACGGCGCATCAAGACAGCAAAATCAGAGTTTGGAAGGTTTCAAGAAAATCCGAGAATGTTTTCCGCCTGGTCGATACGCTCCCCACCACAAAAGACTATCTCCGCAAGTTCTTGAGGCAGAGTAACTATGTCCAAACCAGAAGGCACCACAAGAAGCTCTGGATAGAACACGCGGACAGTATCTCCTGCTTGGCTGTCACCAATGGGTATATCTACTCAGGTTCTTGGGACAAGACTCTCAAGGTGTGGAGAATATCTGATCTGAAGTGTTTGGAGTCGATAAAGGCTCACGACGACGCGATAAACGGGCTGGTGGCCAGCAAGGGAGTGGTGTACTCATCATCTGCAGATGGGAAGATCAAAGCGTGGGGGAAAGAAGGGAAGAACATGGTTTCATTGAAGGGGGTTTTGGAGGGGCACAGAGAGAATGTTTCAATGAATGGAGTGGTGGTTTCTGGGGATGGGAGTTTGGTTTATGGGGCAAGATCAGATGGGTATGTGATGGGGTGGTTGAGGAATGGAGATTCAGAGAAGTGGAAAAAGGTTTGTGAGGTGAAAGCTCATGAAATGGCTGTTCTTTCACTGTGTGTGATGGGGGAGTTTCTGTGCAGTGGGTCTGCAGATAAGAGTATTAGGGTTTGGAAGAAGGGAATGAATGGAGGATTGGTTAATGTTGGGGTTATAAATGGGCATGAAGGGGCTGTCAGATGCTTGCAGGCTTCTCCAGTTAGTGTTGGGGGTGGGTTTATGGTGTACAGTGGGAGCCTTGACAGAAGCCTGAGAGTATGGTGGGTTCCAAACTATGATACAACAGAGAAATCATCTCAGATGATTCAAAGTACAGATCTGCAGAATCCCAAGTTCTTGTTGTCCTAGGATGTTTTTTGAGGTTGTCAGTGAATGAAGATCAGATCAGAAGCATTTATGATTTATCCCTTTTTTTTTTTTTTGAGGTTTGCAGTCCTTTTGACATCATTCTTCTATTGGTTCTTTCTCAATTTTTTGATAGCATTGAAAGGTTTAATTTGCTGGGATTTTTAGCAGGTGGAAAGGCAAAGATATTGTAGTTTTAATTTGTTATATCTTTGTGATTTCATACATATATAGCAGAGGGGGGTAAAGAAAATTTATGTCTTCATCCTTTGTATTGTAAGTAGATCTGAGTGATTGACATTAATGAATATCTTATTTCTTGTTTTCTTCTCCTCAAATCTCAATACTTGTGTGTGTATATATATATATATATATATATATATATATGTTTCAATTAGTTTTTTCTCCATCTTCTTCCTCTTGGTGCTCCCCAACCCCTCCAAAAAATAATTGTAATAGTCTCGAAGATAACTCAACTGATTGATCAATTCATAAGAAAAAATTAAGCGTTTTACTTTGTTGACAGTCGCACAGAATATATGGTGTTTTGTTTATGTAAAATGTTGATACACGTGATTCACTCCCTCTTCCGAGGAAGAGGAAAAAAAAATCGTATAATAATGTAAGAGTTTGTTCTTCATGATATCCACACTCTTGATCTAAAAATATTTGACAACTTTCAGAAAGTCTTAGGCCCTATTTGGTAAAAAAAATTGGCTTATAGACCAATTTTGGCTTATTTGACCACTATTAATTGTTTAATTTAGTTAAAATATCAATATAAATCTTTAGTTAATTAGCTTTTTGCAACTCCAAAAGGCTAAAATTCAAAAAATTACTCAAAGCAACTTTTTCAATTAGCTTTTTGAGAAAAGAAATTATACAAACAACTATCAGCTAACAGTTAATTTACCAAACATTTTTCAATAATCAGCTAATGTTATCAACTATTTATCCCCTCTAATTAACACAATCAGCTAACAATTAATAGTCATTTTACCAAACAGGGCCTTAATGTTTCCGAATATAACAGTTAAAAAGTGCAAAGGTGGTGTGTGGTTCAACTGTTCAATTATGTGAGACACACGATTCACTCCTCCTTTCTTCTCGACAGTTATACATACACAAGAGTAGTTATTCATAATATCCACACTCTTGATTTAAAAATTTTTAACAAATTTTATTGTAAGAGTTAAGATCAGATTTGTGTAATATTTTAGCGATTTTTTTTTATTTTATATATAAAAGAAAATTGAATTTAAAAATGGATAGGGTTGAGGAGTTAGTTATCTGACAGAAGTTGGAATACAAAGGGAAAAGCAGTGGAAAGCATGTGGGATTGCTAACCCCAAGTCCCAACCATCATTAGGGTTGGGGAAGTTGTCTTGAGATTCTCCATTTGCATGCTTTTGATGTAGTTTATTGACAAGATTCTGTCTAGGAATGAGCTAATAAAAGGGAATCATTCCCTTAATTTTAGGGTTTTTTTTCTATTTGATGTTTTCATTAAACTATTGTCAGACTGTCAATGGTGTTTAATTTGGTCCATTACTTGTGCTTATCCAAGAGTTTGTCTTACTATGAATTACAATGAAAATTCAAACCTCATAAAGATCTATGTAATTTCAAATAATAAATTTAAGGACTGGTTGTGTAAATATCTTTGATTAATGTTATATTCTCCTCTTAAAGTTATTTAATAATATACTTTTTGCATGTCACTAATTCATGGTCCTTTCTTAATTTTTGTTTTTTTTTGTTTGTTTTTGTTTTTGTTTTTATTTTTTATTTTACTACATCTAAGCATTTTCCGAGTTGTTGTTGCATTGACAATCCATTTATAATAATAAATATTTTTAACTCGTAGTAAAATCAGTCAATTTACAAGCAAGTAATGAATATAAAGACTATGTCATAATGTAATTTTTAAAATATTATTATTTAATTCCCTCCTTTATTTTCCTTGTTGTACCCATCTAGTCTAGAATTTTGCAAATTATTAGATAACTTTGACAAGAAAACTTATACACCATATTTGGTAACATACTTAGCTTATCAACTAATTTTAACTTATTTGATCATTATTAACTGTTTGATTTGGTTAAATAGCTATATAGGTTTTTGATTAACTAGCTTTTTGTAACAGCTTATTAATCTAAAACGTTAAAATTTAAAAAGCTACTCAAAGCAGTTTTTTTTAGAAAATCATTTTGCATGTAATTAGTTATCAGCTAACAGCTAAATACCAAACATCTTTTTACAATCAGCTAATGCTATCAACTAGTCAAACTAGCTAATAGTTATTTACCAAATACCAACATAGTCACTACTCAAAAGTATGCATTGAGTAAACTCCATTCTTGTGTAAATCACATAAGAAATGTAAAATGTACTTGTAAAACCGTGTAAGACAAATTTAACCAGAAGAGTGTTTGGAAGAATCAAACTCATAACATTCGAGAGTCTGGTCCACCGCTGAATCATCCCTTCTTGGGCAATTACTTTTTTTATACTTTTCTTGGATAAGTTGGACAACTTGCCCGCCATATGAGTGGAGATATGCCTCTCTTTTTTTTTCTCATTTTCCAGTTGATTTGATTGGAGTGGATGCGAAATTAATCCATTCAAAGACGATGTATAACTTGAGAATAATTTACACCCCTAACCCCGACCGCATTTGCTTCTCAGAAGGGCAAAACTATTGAAGAAAAGTCATAAAGCAAAGCATAGTTTTTCCTATGCAGAAGAAGAAGAAGGAAAGGAGAATAAAGAGGAGTTTGGATCCCAATGTGTGGACCACAGACAACTCAAAAGGCCAAAAAGCAAACAAGAAACAAAGTTCTCCCATTCGTCTCAAAGAAAAGAAGCAAAACAAACGTACACAAAGTAAGAGTTGCTTAACCACACCACTCAGCAATATAAAATATTCAGTGTGATCAGACCAAACAACCACCCTCATGACTCGCTGTTTGGGAAATATTTAATTTCCGATGCGGATGCACACAGAAGGAAATTTATATCGTGCATATTGTGCGCCCGGTGCAAAATGACGTCGTTTTGCACTTTGCTTTTTTGAAAATTCTGTTTTTCGTGTGTTGGCTGTTAATTTCTTTTTTAAAAAATCTCATGTTTTGAAAATGTACATAATTGAATAATAAAATGTACATAATTGCATAACAGAATGTACATAATTGTATAACAAAATACACATACTATTTTTTGAAAAAATAATACACATTATCTAATATAACATAAAACACATAAATTTCATGTTTCGGATGTACATAATTGTATAAAAAACTATACATAATTGTATATAAAAAATGTACATAATTATATTAAAAAATGTACATAATTATATTAAAAAATGTACATAATTGTATAGCATAATGTACATAATTATATAACAGAATATACATGCACTCTGCCGCATCAACTCCCCACACAACCTAACAAAACATCCTTTTGGGAGGCACGGGGCACACAATGCTATGTGCACCGCGGTGCACGGTATAACGATTGCACACAGAAACATTTGCATGTCTCTATGTGCACATGTAAGAGAATTTTCTAACAACATATTTCACACTTGTTAAAATGTTAAAATATGAGGACAACTCCAACAAAGTTGGTCGAACCATTAACTTAGTATTCAGAGTTTTAACTTTTAAGTTAAGTTCAACTCCTAATAGGAACAGCCTATTATAAGGCTTGAACCGGAAAGCTATGACAAACCTAGGCTCTTAAGTCACAAGGTAAAATTTACTTGGTTCACGTCCTCGGGTAGCAGCTATGGGTTTCCCTAATCGTCAAAAAAATAATGAAAACATACATACACAAATCCAGACTCACTCTAGTCCAAAATCCAAGGGTTGGTTATTTAAAAATTGGTTTTTACTATAAAAAGTGCAAACGTAATCTTCACAAAAATGTCAAGGGCTCATTAGGTAAAAATTGGTCTTTCTATTAAAAAAATAAAAATGTCAAGGACTCATTAGGTGAAAACTAGTCTTTCTATTAAAAATAAAATATAGACGTGCACTACTAAGCATAACAATAAACTACAAAGTATATCCACTCAAATATAAAAATACACTTAAGACAGTTGCACTTTTACCTATCATCAAATGCACTTTTACATATTTACCAGATTGTCATCGACTCAAATCAACGGGTAGCATTAATTCGCACTTTTTAGTCCTCACCCCAACTTCCACCAAATTCAAATCATTAGTAGATCCCACTCAAAATAATATTTTCAATACTACAGAGAGGAACAAAATCAAACCCAAAGTTGACCCCATGTTTCTGGAGGGAGACAAAAACGCGTAACCAGACAATTGCTAAGAAACTAAGCTTTAGAAAACTAGACGTGCAAGGGATGCTTCCAACTCCACACTTCTTTAACAAACACTGCAGGACCATTAGGAAAGTGCAGACTGCAGACAACTAGCCTAATCACTTTCCGGCAAAGAAATCATTTTTATTTAGCTAAAATATAAAATATTGGACTACTCATACTTTTTCAAACTCCTCGTTTGTTTATTGATCCTATAATGTATTTGTTTATGTCATCAAGGTGTGAACCTTGGGAAATTTAAGAATAATTTAACTCCTGAGAAGATAGGATGGGATAGAACTAAGAACACAGACTTTTTGACTTCTCTACCTGCATTTTAAAACAATTGTCGATTGGAATTTCAGGAAAGGACAATGAAGACAATGACAAGGGACATTTCTCAGTTTTTCAATGCAAGAACTGTTGTGGATGGTCACAATCGGGACATGGTTTTCTTTAAGGAATAGAAAGGTTCAATACATAAATAGTAACAAAATTGCTAGTACATGTTAAATCTGTCTCCTAACAGGCACTGGATAATATATCTCATTCGATTGTAGGCAAGCAAATACAAGTGTTAACTAAATTCATCATATATCTTTGAGATAGAGTAGACACTGCACTTTGGGAATCGCCAAGTACCTGGTTTGTACTCCTCAGCATCGGCATGCATTCTTTTCCTTGTATTGTTACTGTGTAATTGTCGTTGATCTTCTATATTTGTCTGTAGAAAAGAATGTAAGCCTGGTCATGCAGCACCTTGATGGTGCTGACAGCAGTAACGGTGGCATCATCAAACCGTAACCATTTCCCACAAGGGTAGCGGCAGTCAGCAGTATAGTGTCCCCTTGATGCTTCCCTCCCATGGTGGGTTATTGTGGAAACTAGCTCGTATTTCCGACTCTGAACCATGGTGAATAAAACGAATGAATATACAAATAATATAGCCCTTGTGAATTTGTGCACTATGGAGGGGGCAAAGGAGAGAAATAAAGTACA